TACCTGCCCATTTTGCAGAGGAGAAAACTGACTCTCAGAGAGATTACACCGATTGTTCATATTCACTGATTAAAAAGTGGTCAACCCGAGGCTGAAATGCAAGTCTGCGTCTTACTGAATGTTGCACCCGCCTGCTGTGTATTTAGTAGTAGGAGCCTTCGCAGGCAGTCACTTCCCAGGAAAGTGCAGAAGGCACTGCCCAAACTCACTTGCTTTGTAAGTGTCACTTTGTCCCTGGTGCCCTGCAGGACAGCCTCCAGGACACCAGTACTCAGAGGACATACTGCAGACAGGAGACCAGCTATATAATTTGCAGGGCATGGTGCAAAATGAGCACATGGGGCTCCTCTTTCAAAAATTATGAAGAAATTCAAGACACTACAGTAGAGCATTAAACCAAGTGTGGGGCCTGTCTGGACCAAGGGTTCTGTGTGACCACACAGGTTGCATGCCCATGAAGGCAGCTCTGACTGCAGGAAGTACAGACAGATTCAGTGGATCGTGGGCAGCGATGCCTTTTGTGTTCTGGGTGGGGAATGGGGTGGGTTTGGGAATGTCCTCTGAGCATGGCTTCCCTCTCTCTCTTGAGGTCTTCTCCCCTAGGTGGAAACCTAAACTAAACTAAACTTCTCCCCCATGTGGAAACCTAAACCTAAACTTCTTTCTAGCAAGGATTTAGGGTTTCCCAGAATAGACCCAGTTATGTCTATGATGGTGAGCACAGTGGGAGAGGGAGATAATTGATTCCAAAGTCCAGTCAAGATGTTATTATTTAGAACAGTGGTCTCAAATGCTCGTCTGTTGACCTGGTCTAGCTTTGTTGAAGTTTTTTTACCTCTCTGATATAAAAATGAAAGAAATACAGACATGGGAGTGAGGTTTTTTGCGTGCGTGTTTGTTTTTGTCTATAAAGCTAAATTTATCCAATGTAACAACCACTCCTTTATTCTAAGATTATGTTTGTCTTATGATTTTGGTGTTAAAATATTCTCTCTGTCATAATGAGATACTAATGATACACCGTAGTTTTTTTGTTTTTTTTTTTGAGAGAGAAGGATGTTATTTGTTTGAGGTCTTATAACTAATAAATATCTGGATCAAAGGACTAGTTGAATCACCTAGTAGTTGTTTTTGAATCATCTTCACTAGCTAAACAAAAAGACACTCTAAGGCATGATCCCCTATATTTTGGGGGGAATTTTACTGGTTCATGAAACACAAATCTGGGAACCATGGACCAGAAGGTGAAGAGAAGCAGAGTGATATGGTGGGGAGAGCCCCGGGCTGGGGGCCACACCTTAGTTTTACATGGCCACTAATTGTGAAGTCTTGGGCAGCTCCTGCCCCTTCTTGGGGACCTCATCCTTAGCTCCACTCTGAGAGGACTGGACCAGATGACTGCTTAAGCCTCTTTCAGTGCTCGTATTCTCTGATAACTCTGATTGCATAGCTCTAACTGCTAAATCACAGTGAGGATTTGGATTACAGACCCAATGTGTCCCATTTATCTAGTTCATCAATTCAGGTTAAAACACAGAGAAGAAAGTTTAAGGGAATCTGCAAACAAAATAATCACGAAAACAACCCAACAGCTGCTCAGTAAGTGCTGCGATGAGCCCATTGTAAAATGCATCATGGTATGTCGTAATGCTTGGGATACCAACAAGAAAGTTCTATCTTAAGGACCATTGGCTTAGTCACATTGTGTTTGTCAAACAGGCAGTGAACATCTGTTTATTTTAAAAAAATTCCTCTTTAATTCTTTCCTTTGTATTTCAACCTTTAAAAAATTCCTTAGGATATGTTTTGCTTGGTCCATTAAGCCCACAGTGCCATATTGAAGAGGAAGCTTTTAAATTACTTCGGAATGCATTAAAAGATATGATAAAGTGATTTGCCAATTTAGCATAGAGTTTCAGTCTCTGCCTTGTACATGATAGGCATTCCATAAATATTTGATAAATAAGTTTTAATAAAAATGTACTTGTGTTATGATTTTGTCCCATTATAAATATATCTAGCAATTGTTCTCCCTTCTTTTTTTTTAAAAAAAGGTAAACTTGCTGGGGGGCCTCTTGCACAGCTACTGTACAGTCTACTTGGTGCTTCTGGAATTGTCCAAATAAACTTAACTGCTCTCAGGAACTCTGATCCAGTATCACTGTCAAAATGTTTTACAACGATTCGGCCAAATGTTTGTGGAACAGCTGTGCTACTAGTCTGCCTGAGTCATTTTCCTTCTTTCCTTTTGGCCCAATCCTGTGATTCATCATCCTGCTTTTAGAATATTTGCCTATTTTTAACACCAGTCAAAGAAGGCAGCCACTGTTTGAAAGTAAACACACCACACATCAACTCGGGGCAGCTTTGTAAGCAGCCTCGCAAGCCCTGAAATTTCTGGCTGGTTGGGATGCCAGCGAAACCAGATGGCAGCAAGCAGTGAAATACAGGCCTGGCTCACAGACTCGGTAGTCTCCGTACATCTGTCTTCGGTTTTCTTGTTTCCGCTGCTATTTCCTGCTTGGCCTAATCCAGCGTGATCCGTTCTTTAACAAAAAAGTCTTACTTTTTTATTTTGCTCTCTAAAACATCCACTGTATGTTGGTATCTATGTTAATCAATTAGACTTTTCTTTCAACTCAAGGAGTCCAATCTTAAGCCTTTCTTTCTCTGGAAAATTATGAGTATGGTCACGTATATGGGACGCGGCATGGTGTGACTATTAAATGATGTAGATTTCCACAATAGGCCTCATTAATTCTGGGTCATATCAGTTATTTGCTGTTTACATTACCATACTAAAGTATATGAATAATTTTATTTTTCTTTTTTATAATTAAGCAGGAAGGAGTATGACTTCACAGGGGCAAGGTAGATTAAGTCTCAGGAAGCCTTGGGTTCCATTCCTGGCTGTCTCCTAGAATTCTAGAATGTCCTATCTGCTCTCATCCTTTACAGAAGTGGTTCCTCTTTCCAGCAGGTGCCTGCTCGCCTGTAATTATTAGTGTTGGGAGGTCAAACTATATGTGCTTCTATTTACCTGTGCCAAGTCATTCTGGCTTTGCACCCAATGAGCTAAAATAATCATGATGTCTAGATTATTGAAATTGTACGTAAGTAAATTTAAGTGCACTGTAAACAAAAATCAGTTTTACAAAGTATAGGTTTTATAATGAAGGCTACTTCTAAGGGGTCAATAGTCACAAGTTCATATTTCTACCTGTTGGCCAATTCTTTGCAAATGTTGGGGTAGATTTAAAAAACCACAGTAATTGGCAGAATTTGTCACTTCTAGTCTGAGTGGGAAGGGGGCATTCAAAGGGCCTAGGAGGAGCGATTGGGTCTTATTTCCGCTGAAGACTGTCCTCCAGCCTGCAGCAAAGTTCTTGGGAAATTTCTCAGTTTCTACTTTCTCTAGGAAGCTAAAGTTAAGTAGTGTCAGTGAACTCATGGGCATCTATTGTCTGGTACTGGTGCAAGTACAATACGGATTCAAATTTGGTGATGTATTGTCATTGTTTTAAGGCATTTTTAAATGGGAGTATTATTATGCTTTATTGACTAAAATATGCCAGAGGCTATTATCTGACATGACTCTCGAGGGGTTTGGCAGAGGTTAATACCACCCTTGTTTGAATTATCTTTCTGGTGATTGTCTTCAGTGCCTTCAAAGAAACGTAATTCTATAGTTGCTAGGGCCTTCTCATGTACCACATCTTATTCTAAACTGTGCTGTCAGAGAGTTGGGAGAGGATGCTTGTTTCTGCATTGTGTATGGCCTGTATCACTTCCTTTAGTTCAGAAGAATATCGGTTTTTATCAATAAATTTGATTGTCATTGTGAGAACATAAAACCATTATCTTTCCTGGCTTTATTATAATTTAAAATAGTTTCGGTTTTTTAAATTATTCTTTTAGTTTGTGTTTTGTCTACGTCCTGTATACGTACTCGTGTATGTACCGGGGGGACCGCAGAGCCAGAGTCTGCCTGGAGATACAGAGGTTCTGCTCACAAAGGGTCTGTCCTCTAGCATCAGGGCTGGGTCAGCAGTATATTGTTGAAGGGATTTGGGGATGACTCGGATATTTTAGGCCACATTTCTGTCAGGTTTCCTTGAATGCTTCTGAGAACTGCACCTTTTGATCCAGCAACAGCGGCCCTATGGCCAGTCAGTCACCCTCAGCACTTCTCAGGAGGCTTTTCAAGGCTCTCTGGGTTCTGGCTGTCCTGTAACAAAGCTGTGAATTCTGTCTCAGGTGAAGAGCGTTGCCTGGTGCATTAGGGAGAAGTGCCCTCTTTGGGTTGCTGCCTGTTACCCACTGTAACCCAGAATGAGTTTCTGCTTAACTAACTGTGAGTGGTGGTTTGTGGTAAGTGCAGAGGGCAAAACCATCAAAACATGCGACACTTGGAGTCATTCAGGGGAGAATGAGTGCTTCTGTTTTTCACTAACTTGTTCCTCTTTCCCCTTGATGTTCTTCTGGCTACCTCATTAGCACCTTGTTAAGCATTTTCCTGCATATCATATTTTTTGGTTTGGGCCAATGCAGAAGTAGTGAAAGACAAGCAGTCCTTCTTAATTGGAAAGCTCCCAGACCGGACATTTGAGGATTCTGATATATTTTTTTTTAGTTTTATTTCGGAATATTATGAGGGTACAAACATTTTGGTTACATTTTATGTCTTTGCTGCACCCAAGTGAGGATTAGAGGCATGCCCTTCCCCTCTACAATGCTTACTGCGTCCATCAGTTGTGAGATTCTGGTATTTGTTTACAAAATTTTGGTCAGGCCAGTGAAGCTCTCCATGCTTCTGTGTGTACAGAAAATGAACAAAATTATCTGATATGTTCTCTCTGTCCCCAATTGAAGTGATGAAAATACCTGAAGCAGCATATACTGATGGTTTCACTATGTGAGCTTAAGGATGCTTCCAGCAGGGTAACTCTCATGAGAGAAATGACTCTGTAGTGAAGAATCATTCTATTTTCATGTTTTAGATGATACACCTCCTGAAGACTCCATTCCTTTGGTCTTTCCAGAATTAGACCAGCAACTGCAGGTAAGGATTTTTCTCAAGTCTCTCTTATTTCCTCCTTAGTGTCACAAAGTACAGTGAGCTGGGGAGCGTCCTGAGAGACAGTGACTTGGACACAGAGTGGGGGGGCTTTTAAATCATCAAGGCTCACACATCTCTAGAGCTCCAAAGTCAGGCAGAAGCCCTCATGGAGTGCCCCTGTCTGGGTATCTGGCTATGGCACTGGGACATCAAGTGCTTACAGCTGATAAACTAGCTCCTGTTTTTAAGGAGTCCCAGAGCCTGGGAAAAGGATTCGTCTCTGCTTTCCTTTGCTGTCGATGTCCCTGGGCCATTGCAATTCTGGCTCTGTTTGGGGTTCATGATTTAGCAATAAACTCTGCGGAGCAAATTTGTCATGTTTGCCAAGACTTTGAAATAATCTTCCTTTCTCTACCCCCTGCCCCTTCCCCAGTTCTGCCAACTTTTAATGGAGTATAATTATTTTAAGTTAAACCTTCTGAAAACTGTCTGGTTTGAACCCTGAGAAAAATATTTGGGGTACATAGTTATTAGATGATCTATCAAAAGATATCCTGTTTAACACATCAGAATTCTGTGAAAGGAACTAATTTATGACATTTTAATTTTCTTTAGGTGGCATATGGTGATTCCAGGCAAAGATGGCTTTAGGAGGAGGTTCTGTCTAAAATACCTGGATATTGGCCATGGGTCAGCCATTCCCTTGAGTACTGAACTTTGCAGTCACGTTTAGACAAGTCTAATTGGGGTCTTGGACCTTGTACATAATGTTTTGCTTGGCTGCCTCCTCTAACCCCTGCTAAACAGTGATTTTGAGAGCCTATAAGAGGGATTTTCAACCTCCAGTTCCCAACAGGCCCTGACATTCCATGTTGTCTTATAACAAGAGCTTTTCCCATTTGTGAGTATGTGTGATGTCCTAAAGTCATTTGAGTTTGGGACCCCTGTTCCTGGACAGCCCTCGACAGAGGTGGGAGGAACCAAGAATGAGCCCTTGCGCAACCCAAGATGGTGTTCCTTTTCGTTTACTTCAGTTCTTTATCTCAGTACCCAGTGCACTGAGTTAAAAACCTGGAAGCAACTAGGTCAGGTTGGAGGAGCTGGTGCTCTATTATTGGGGTGGTCTCTAAAAATCCAGGGCAACTCAAGTGTGACCTGGCCTTTTGGAAGAGCCCTCATTCTCACCTCTGCAGATGTGCTAGGCATTGTCACGGCTCTCCAACAGAAAGCCCACTCAACAGAGCAGCATCAGTCATGTAGGTATCACTGAAGACTGTGTAGAAGGTGGGGGCGGTTATACTCGTCACCACCTGGCTGTCAAAGATAGCTCTGTCACCCCCTAAAATTTCTTCTCCAGCTCTCAGAGATCTTATCTCCCTCTTTTCCTGTCCCTCAGGCAGGGTCTTCAACTCAGCTTTCCAACTCCCCCTTCCCTGCCCCCACCAGCATCTCTTCTTCTCAGCAGAGAGAACTATTCAGCCCTCTCTCTGCATTTCCTTCCGGCCTGCTCACACTGCATGTGAGGGGCCTTGCTTAGCTTCTGTCCACACAGAGGGGCTGTCTATGTGTTGCAGGTGGTGTAGTTGGGATTGTGAAATAATATCTATTTTTCCCCTAGTCACAGTTTTTTTCTTCCTTTATTTTACTGTCACCTCCAAGCTCTTTAATTATCATGAAAATTAGATGAAAATAGGGAGTAAGCATGTTTTGAAAATAAAGCAGTGAAAGCATATTCAGGTTCTTGTTCCCGCCTTGAATTATGGATCGTTCATTCTACTTTTTTGTATTGGAAAAAATATTTTTCTCCTTTGGGAACTTTAATGGTCTTCCCTGGCTTGTGGATCATCTTCTGCAGGATTGACAGCACCTGTGGCAATTATCCAGATAATTTTTCTGCTGAAGCATTGCTAGGTCCATTTGAATTTTATAGCTTTAATTCCATTTGACATACATTAGAAATTGCCTATTTAATTATTTCACTCCAGTGAGACCATTTTATCCTCATTGATCTTTAATGAGTTAGGCAGTTGAGAGGATGGTTTTTGGCTCAGGGGTTTTGATTTTTTTTTCTTCCCCTTTTAACATATGGTATTACTTTACCTCTTCATGAACAGAGAGAATGTTACCAGCATTATAACTAAAAGCATGTAAGTGTTTGTTTATTGAGTGAAGAATACGAGTGAGTTTGTTCCAAACATTTACCAGTCGTGAAGACATTTGGTTAGGTTTGTCTCTGCGAGAGCTGTTATTCAGTTCTCCAGGGCATGAGTGACTAAAAAGAAAGATGGTGAGAGTTGGGAGAAGGAAGCTGACATAGAAAATGACATCTGAAAGCAGATTCTTGTATCTGTGCTTAGCCTGAGCACATACATTTAAGACATTCTGCAGCAGGAAGTCTCCGCATTGAAAGCAATGAAAATGCTTTATGCACAAAAGGAACAACCCAATACGTGAAGCGGGCCATCTTTGTAGCCAGTCTCATGTACATTCATCACATGGTAATGGCTCTTGGAATTTTATCGACCATCATAAGCCACTATGGAAGCGTAAAAGTTGGGTTACAAAGGCACATGAAGTGCCTCCTGGTTGCCACAATTTGCTTGAGAATGAATTGGCCCTTGATTACCTCTACCGGGGGCTTGTAAGTGTACATAGTGAAAAATAAATGTTGCCAGGTGATTATTGCCAGCCCTACTCTCTGCAAATCCTCAGGTTTAAATCCCACCAACTCACACTGAGTACCCACTAGGCAAGGAGTGTTTTGTTACATATGATCTCATTTGATTCTTGCAATAATTATGCAAGCCAACTATTATGTCTCCACTTTGTACATAAGAAACTTGAGGTCAAATTTTGGTCTAAATAAATCTGCTATTCCCTTCTTTCTCTTACACTGCAGAATGTATAGGCTGCTTAAGTTGCTTTGATAGGTGGATATTTGTTTGTTTCTAGTTTGCAAGGTTGCTATAATATAGTTGTAGAACAATCTTATAAAATCTGTTCTGACTTTCTGATATCCATTACACATTCTTTGGTAGTTTATAAAACCTGGCTATAAAATACCTGTTTGGTAGACACTCTATTACCAAATTTGACCCCCAAGATTTTTCTGTTGCTTTGCCAAGAACGTGGACATGTTTGAGCATGTAATTCGTGGTGCTTCTATTTTCACATAAGCCAAAAAAAGCCTTGTGCAAGAATAGCAGTGACAAACATTTCCCTTGATGTCTCTATTAATGCAAAATGTTGGGCAAGACCTCAGGGTAAGGTAGGTGTGAAAATGAACATCTCTTTATGATGTTCATTTGTGGGCCTCGGAGCTCCACCCAGGGGCAGGTGGAAGGTTAATTCTATTTTGTGCAGATTCCTTTCTTGGGACTAGGTTTCTAAATTCCCCATGCCCATCTGGGGCAGTGTTTTGGTAGTGCTAGTTTAGATCACAGTCCAAAGAGAGGAGTTCCAATTCTATGTCCACTTCTAAGAACTAATGAAAAATCATTACTTTTCTTTAGGTCTCAGTTTCCTTTTATCTGAAAAAGAAGTAATGATTGACCTCTTTCTCTCTGTGTTCTGAAAGATCAATGGAATCCTGTTACGGTCCCAGGATTTGGGTCAAGACCAAGCCTCTCTTACAGCTTAAGCATGTTGTTATGTTTTGGGAACCGTGGTTTGGCTTATACATGATTCAAAGCTATGCTACAATGTGGTCTTAACTGCACTAGGATGAGAAATATGTTTTTATAATCAGGTAGAGGACATGATAACAAGTAGCTTGCAATAGACATCCTAATGGGAGTTACAATGATTGGAGCATGGGCATTAGCATTAGCTTTGCCTGGATTTGCATCTCAGCTAGTTTTGTGATTCAGGAGTGTTATTTACTCTCTCTAAACCTCACTTTTCCAAACCTCAAAGTGGAGATAATATCAGTCTCACATTGTGTTAGAATTTAATATGGTAATGAGCAGATCCAGCACAGTTACTTGGCAAAATGATTGCTCAATTAATGTAAATTTCCTTTCCTGGTAAAATTATTTGTTGAGCGATATATTTGAGAACAAGTAATTTATCTTTATTTGTGTAACATGAAATGAAAGAAGCATTTCCTTGGATTTTTGAGTTAAGGATAGAGGTTTTGATGCCCTCTTCTTTTCACTAAGCCAAGGTGTTTGGAAAACAACATGACTTTTTTTTGTTTTTTTTTTTTTCCCAAACTGAGCAATAGCTTCGATCCCTCCTAAAGTCCTCCCATCTAATCTGAGATGACAGTGACAGGTGTTTCTGTGGTACACACTGAACTTGCCTTTTCTCAGACAGAGTCTGATAAGTCCAGAAACTGATGTCACCTCCACAAATAAACAATTCCGTAGCTTCAGTTGTTTATCATAATATCTTGTTATCCGAGCAGTCTCTCCAGAAATGTCTTTTAAGTTTTGTATCAGTATATTGCTTGATATCTGGGAAATGAAAATGGTAGAAAATGAAATCTTAGCATTCCAGGATTCTGCTACATTGGTCTTTAACACCCATCTAGAAATGTGATAAGAACAAAATAGTCTCATAGAAAGTACTGAAAATGGCTGACATTTTCTCTCATACACATGTTGAAAAGTATCTTATACTGTAGTTCTTTGGATGCTGTGACCACACAGAAAACATATATAGAGATACTTTGAAGCTTTACAGTAGTACACTTTAATTTTTTTTTTTTTTTTGAGAAGCTCAAGGTTATTAGGATATGGCTTGTTAGAAAAACTTGGCACACTCTTGAGTTCTCGCTTCCTTTTATATTGCTTACGTCAATAGAAATGACTTAAATATATTTTACTCCAGTGTTATATGATGTATAAGTTGTGTAGTATAATCAATAGTCCATACTTGGACCATAATATAGATGCTATAGAAATACCAGTTCTTAAAAATATTTTTAAAATATTTAAAATTCTGAGATAGAGGAGTTCTTAAATATCAAAATTAGCCCGGACTATGTTTTTTCTCTCAGTTTTGGCAAAAGATTTTAACAAGCAAAAATTAAAATGCTTGTTAATTTCAAGACATTAAATTGCAACATAAATTTAAATGACACTCCCATCCTCCCCCAAAATAGGTAACACTGAGAATCAAGGAATAAATACAAGTCTGCTCAGCGACTGTAGAATGTTTAGCTTCCTAAATATAGTTTCTGTGTGGGAAGCTGGGATAGGAAAATTAAATTCTTACATTTCTGAAGTGGATGGGGCCAGTAGTATTCGAAGAAGCCAAGTAGAAAACGGAAACGCTTAAGCTGGCTTTGCCCCTTGCGGAGGGATGCTTGGCCACGTCCTTTCCCACGGGGCCTTTTCCAGAGAACGGAATCCACTTCGGGAGGAGCTTGCTATGAACCGAAGGCTCCGGCAGAGAGCAGAGATGGTACGGTGTGGCTCAAGCCGGCATTCTTGGAACGAGACCCTGCGGTTTCTCTCTTACTTCATCTTGTTAAATCGGTCCTGATGATTGGGGTGGATACCAGAGATAGCAGCTCTCTTGCACTGCCATGCAATTTAAAGCCCTTCCAAGCTCCATCCTCAGGCAGCAGGGGGAGGAGGCGGAGATGGAGGAAAGAGGGTGAGGAGGAAGTGTCCCCTCCTGGTCTCTGATCTCATCCCAGCCCCAATGTGTGTCTTGGAAGAATGTGTTTTAAAGTTGGCTTGAGGTGCTGTTAGGAGAATGTCTTAATTTAGCCTCCTTAGAACGGCTGTGTCGTATAGTTGACCAGATACAGATAGCATTGAGTGCGTCTGGAAGGCTGTGTGATCACACAGAATTTGTGCTCTGGTACATTAAGAATACCTTTCATTTTTTTAAACTCAACTATCTTTGGATTCCTTTTCTTTGGAATGCAGTATTTCACTCTTTAAGTAAGAATGTGGGATAAATGTATCCAAAGTGAGGGAGGATCTAGCGTAATTACGGAGACAATAACAAGAGGGTTTTCTCTTCCTGATGTGAAAAGAAATTAATCATCAACACAAAGAATTTATTTATTGCTCATCCGTTCCCAGCATGGGATTGTAACTACAAAAACCTCTTTGAGAAGAATAGTCAAAATCAAGCAATGAGAATTGAACTACTTGTAGTGGCAATGAGAAGTGCTACTTTTATGCCAAGAAGTTAATAGATGTTTTTCATCTGGTTACCACAGGCATTCTTTTAAGTTATTTTTCAGTTCTTAATTTGAATGTGTGTTATTTAAACCCATGTATAGCTGATTAATTCATGATTGAATGAATTAGTGTGTTTTAGATGTCACATTACTTAAGACTACTGGTAGCTCCATTTTTAAACTGGCAACAGGATTCTTTTGCTTGAATTTTAGGAATCTGTTTCCTCAGACAGAAGCTTTTATTCAGTGAACACTGCTGGTCATATATTGTCTCTTATTTTGAGGGATTATAAGAGGATAAGAGAGAATCTCCCTCAGCAAGGATCTGATGATGCTACACATGTACACAAATTCTATCATAAAGCAATGAAAGTATTCTTTGTCATACAAAATGACACATCTCATTTTTCCATAATTCCACTTTTTATATTCGGCATAAAATCTAAATTTCTTAACACTTTTATTCATCAGAATTCTTGTTGGGCTGAGAACCATATGGATTTAAACAAATTATTTGATCAGTTTCCGGGGCTGCGGTAAATGTCCAATGATGTCAACAGTCTTCTAAGGACAGTGGGTAGGCTGACTAGAAGGCACCTTGATTTGTCCAGCGATGTTTGGGGTTAGCAGTAGTTGGCTCAGAATTATAAAGGGGTAAGACATTTGAAGTTCCTCAAAGAGAACTTTGGGAAAGAGAGAAAGGTTAGGTACACATGGAGTGAGCCTCTGATAGGGAACTCTGGTAGCATTGCTTAGAAGATGGGCTGGAGTGGCAGAAAAGTCTAATGAGCTAATTTTTTTTGCATTAACTTTTTTTTTTTATATTGTGGCAAAAATGCATAAGATAAAATTTCCCATCTTAACAATTTCTAAGTATACATTTCAGTAATACAAATATATTCGCATTGTTGTGCAACCACTCTCCAGAACTTTTTCATCTTGCAAAACAGAAGCTCTATACCCATTAAACAACAACCGCCCCCAAGTCGCCCCTTCCTCCAGCCTCTGGCAATTAATGAGGTAATTTTACGATGTTATGGTGAGTCGTGCAATATAACCTCCCTCCTTGCTTAAAAAAAGGGAAATCTATATTGCTCATTAATGTTTCATGCAAATTTGGAGAACTTGAAGTGATGCTGAGTTATATGTCAGGTTGGGGTGAAGACAGAGCTTTCAGGATCTAGAGGCTGAAATGACACCTGAAATCTTTGTACTCCGTGAAACACTGTACACTAAGTATTTTTGACTTATTCTTTTTTAATTGGCACTTTTTTATCATGGGGAATCTTGGCAATATTATGTATAGCTAGCATGTTCCTCCTGCTAAGAGCATATGAGGACACTGAATATATCCTGAAGTACATACTGCCTACCCCCACATATCCTTAGCAGCATGATCACCCTACCTGTATATAATAATATCCTCAAATTCCCACAATTAAGAAGTGCCAATAAAAAAAGAACAAATGAAAAAATTTCCCACTTAATAAAAAGCATTGTAGGGTGGCAAGATAAGGGGGAAAAGAGGCCTCTCTCTTCTTAAGAAAATTATACACGCAATTTTTCTATTTTCCATTTTAATTCTAGCAGCAAAGGACATTTCCCCCTGTACATGGTTGTTCTAATCGGTATTCTCCGAAGCATGCAAATCCTTCTTAAGCAGAGTTCTGAAATCTTTTGGCTATCACATAGCCAAAAGCATAGCCTATGCTGAATTTGTGGCTCAGGTACCTACAGGTGACAAGTTCTGTACTGAACTCTTGTTCAAATGGAGAACAGCCTGTGTGGTGTTCACAAGGACAGGATATGATGCGTAAAGTCTTAGAGCCTTCCAGGAAGCAAATCCTTTAACAGGGCGCAGATGATTTAACAGCTTGGCTACGGTGCCTAGGATAAATTGCTTTCATTCCCCTTACTGTTATACCTGGTCATTTGCCAGTGTAACAGGTGAAATCTGATGAGCGAGTGACGATTTCTGGGACACAGACTGGAAGAGCCAGGAATTCTAAATTCCTTTGGCAACAGTTTTATCGCATGGGGCGAATTACATTACAGTACCACCGTGCACGGTTTTTCAATTTAATTCCACATAGAAAGGGATAATGGTTCCAAAAGGCTAAGTTTATGCTCTGAGTGTGTTCGTGGGGCAGCAGGGAAAGATGCTACATAATAGGATTATTATTAGATTTTTCATGAATTAGGACACAACAGATGTTCCACAGGAAGGTAAATTTAATTCAAATCTATTTAGAATTTTATTTCCTTTAGAACATCTCAGAGGCCTCATAATAAATAAAGAAGGGTCATCTTGTCTATTAATCAGACAATAAACTTTATTGAATTTTTATTACATGCTGGGTGGGATCACTAAATGTGACACCCACAGAAATTTGTGTCCTTGAAGAATATAATGAGAGGAGGAAAAAATAGTCAGAAACTCATTAGTTTTAAATTTCCAAATATAAAATTAGTGAGAATATAACCTGATCAAATATGTAGTTTATATATATATATAATATATATATATACAGACTATTGTGAAGAAAGGATTAGACTGAAAAGCCTATTGAACAATGAGCTGATATTTCTCAGATTTTATATACATTTTTTTCTATAAATAATTGAAAAGAGTGATTAAGATATCTTTAAAGACTATTAACTTGTGTTCCTAAAAGTAGTATTTTTAATCACGTGTTGCTAAACTAGACAGAATAATAAACTCAGGGAAAACTATTACTTTAAAAATAATTCCTAGAAGTAGGATTTTCACCATGTTGTGGTCGAAAGGTTTGCATGCTGGCTTTGTTTCTCTCATGGGTGGGAGAAAAGGACAGATGTGAACTCATGCTCTCTTTGGCCTCACATGTTACAAGCATTGTTTTATTTTGGGTCAGACCCTTCAGACGGGTTTGTTAATCCTTGCAAGCATTATTTCTGGCTCAGTATCTTTCTTTAGGTTGGATGTATTTCTCAGAAGAAAGCCTTTCTTCTCCACTCTACAAAATAAGATCATGCCTCTGAGCTACAGGAACAGAAAGCAAGGGGTAATTCAAACAGACAGCTGAAATATTTCCCCACCGCTGCCCTTCTCTAAAGCGGAGTTTAATATATCTGGGGAGAATTGCAGAGTCCTTAGGAGACTTATTTTCACTCCAGTGCGTGCCAGGTAACTGACATGTAATGGGTTTCAGCGATCTGGCTCAGGCCTGAGATGCCCATGAATGATAATGGGAGATGAACGTGGGGAATATCCACCCACCTCTCTATTTCCAGTCAAATGGAATCAGCAGAATTCTGTTGATCATGGATTGACAAAGCTGTTCTCATGTAAAAAATATCCCTCTAAAGAACATCAACAGAGCAAAATGTTTGATGATTTATTCTGATGCAAAAAAAATGGACTGATTTCTTCTCGTTGTTGTTTACGAAGCCTCTGCCACCTTGTCATGACTCCGCGGAATCCATGCAGGTGTTCAAACAGCACTGCCAAATAGCAGAAGAATATCATGAGGTCAAGAAAGAAATCGCCCTGCTGGAGGAAAGGAAGTAAGTACTTTCCCCCTGAGTACTCTCACCTCTGAGCACCGGCCACTGGGCAAAAGACAAGGGTGGTGGGCAGCGGGTAGGCTGAGCTCGGGGATGGGAGGGAGAGGAGGGGATTATATAGAAATGGTCCAAATGGTGCTGCTGAAGATGAAGTGCTTTGCTGCTTTACGGAATACTGAAAGGAACAGCAGGAGTGCTTCCTACTAAAAATTTTTTTAATAAGAGACTTTAGTCCAGGAAATTAAAAGTGCCAAAATACCACCCAGAGCCACACTGTGTTCTCTGCACATGTGCCCATAGGCCCCAGAGCACTTTGACTTGGGGAGAATTTTAATTAATGCTTACATGATGGAGTTCCTACATCAAGTGAGAAAGCCACTGCGATAGCTCTTTGGAATAATGTAAATGTATTAGTTGACTAACTGCATTTTATAGTCTGAGTAAGTTTTTCTCTTGATAGATTCTATTACCATTATAGTTCTGCTGTAGGGAATTATACGGTTCTATTAATTAAAGCACTCTAATTTTACTCACTCATAACTTTTTGTTTCAGAATCCTTCCTTCTAATTGCACTTGATTCTTCTGCTGATGTCTACCCCAGTGCCATCATTTTTATATAACTTTCTTCTATTCTTTTATAACTTTCTAAGCATCAGATAAGACACCTTTCCTTCATACTACTGGCCAGTTGGTACTTACACATTTACTAGGGAGACCTTTTCATTACTATTTGCATCTCCTACGAAGTGGTAAGTGCCATAAAAGCACAGATAGTCAGGTGTTGCTCAACATTAGATTCATGGAGCCTGGTATGATACGTGGCAGCTAGAGGCAGAATAAATTTTTCTGTTTTTGAGACAGGGTCTCACTCTGTTGCCCAGGCTAGAGTTCAGTGGCATCATCATAGCTCACAACAACCTCAAACTCCTGGACTCAAGCGATCCTCCTGCACCAGCCTCCCAAGTAGCTAGGACTACAGATGCACACCACCGCATCCAGCTAATTTTTTCCATTTTTTGTAGAGATGGAATCTTGCTCTTGCTCGGGCGAGTCTCTAACTCTTGACCTAGAGCAATCCTCCCACATTGGCCTCCCAAAGTGCTAGGATTACAGGCATGAGCCACTGCGCTCAGCCTGAATAAGTTATTGTTGAATGCATGAAACATAACCTAAACATTCTTTAACTTTCTATTTCTTCTCCCTTTTCTTTTATTGTAGTGACACATGATATATATTTATTACTTATTTTTTAAATGAAAGCAAGTGAAATATATTTTGTCTTAAGAAGTTTATGAAATTCTTAAAACTCTTTTGAGACTCCCAGGGTAGTGGTTGGATAGTATAACATGGTTGTGGCCAATATAGATTTTGGGGCCACCCTTCTGTAAGCTCTCAGCATACTACAAACACTTTTTTACTTACTTGCTTTGCCATGCTTCAAACATAAAATTGTACCAGACTTTTGGTTATAGGGGATTAAAAGATGCTTACTAGGATATCAGAAACACAACTCTTTCCTCATATATCTGAGAGGTTTTTTTGGTCTAAGAATTTTGATAAGTTGCTTGGAATACTCAGAATATATGTTTATACAAAGTCTGGGTCCTAAAAAAATTTCATAGAGGAGTTGAAGAAGATTAATAACATGACCAACATTGAAGTCAAAGGAGGGTTTGTATGATCGGTATCCTGTGAATGTATCTTCCTGTGTGTGTGTGTCTATGTATGTGAAGCACAATGATGTGATAGAAAAATCCCCAGTAATTATGTCTCTATTTCTAAACTCTTCAGATTGAAAGTACTGGAGGACTTTGTTATCTAAATTAACTTCATATGTGGCTTTTTTTTTTTTTGGCAACACAAGACTTACGCACTAAATTATATGTTCTATAAATTTATATTTTTGTATGTTGCATTTAAAAAATATGAAATGATAATGACATGAGAGTGACTCATAGCTGGTCTTTGAAACATATTCTTGCTACTTGCTTTGAGAGCAATGATAACTTTGGGTACCACAGTTACTGGCCTCTGAGTGGAGGTTTTCTTCAGGTTCTTGTTATTTATCAGGAAAAGAATTTCAGGATGTACCACATAAGCCAAGCAAGCTTTTATTGAAAGCAAAAGTACACTCTCAGAGAAGAGAATGAGCAGGCTCAAAAGAGAGCAGCTGCACTGGAAGGTAGTGGCTTTAGATCTTTTGTAGTTCTAGTAATTGATGGGAGGAATATTCAGGGCAAGTGGTTGGCTTTTAGTAAGAATTCGGGTATTAATTTATAGAATTAGGTTCTCTCCCATTTTGTATTTCATATGTCTGTCTCAGAACTGTTATGGTGATTTCAAGGGCAGAGAAATTTTAAAGCCACAATGTAAATGATATTGTAATTAGCCAAAGTTCATGTAAGGTGACAGAGATGACTGACAAGCCAGTTGAAGCTTGTTCTTGCCTGTGGTTTCCATCCCCTTTTGTTTAAGGCTGTTTACTTTAACATCTGCACTGATCTTTAAGCCCCTGCATCCAGTCTCAGCCCTGTCTACTATGCTAACATTTCCCCACTTAAGAGCTTTGAGCCCTTGTAATCTTATAAAGGAGGCTAAGATCCATCTTCTGAAACTGCTTCCTGCTGCTAAGGAGCATTGACCTGCCTGTGGGTACCAGAGTCTCTTACATCTTATTCTCTATCTATTAATGGGACTGGTGTCAGGGTATGGGCTGTAAGGCACCTTACTATGGTGGGAGGGACCTTTAGGGCCCTCAGTGTGGTCAGATGGCTGCCAGTATAAGGAATAAGCTGCCCAATCAGGGGAACTTTGATAGTCTCTTTCATCATCTCTCTGAAGAGGGATGGGGTGGAGCCCTTGGACTGTCATGACAACTCAAAAGGCAAAAGATTTAAAAAGTTTAATAATGCAAGGAGAGAAAGGGAGAGTAAGAATCATGATAATGATGGGGACTATACAGGGTCCTAGTCAGGACCACAGCATTTGTCTAAAAGTAGGCTACTGGGAGGATAGTTTGTTCCATATGTCAGAAGCTGTGTCTGACTTTCCCTTTTGATTGTACTTGGGCAGCCATTTAGCTGCCTTATAAACTTCCTGTAAATTTGTAGGGACGTGGCCAGTGGTATTAATCCAAGTGCAACAGGAGGAATTTAATACAGTGTAGACCCCTCCTTCGGTGTCCAGTACATAATCTAATCCTCTGTGGTTTTCTAAAACTAAATCTGAAAGTGAATTGAGGGAGATTGTCAGCTGGTTTATTGGATTTCAACGATTGTAAATGGTGGTTTCTAAGGTGGAGGTGATGTTGCCAAGGATGATCTCAGGGTAGATAAAAACCACCCCAAGGAGCAAGTAGATGGATTATGCCTACTACTCCAGCCATTGTTAGGCCAATGGCACTCTTAGTCCAGGTGGTATTTGGTCTAGAATAAACTTGGATTTTGTTTCCTCTTGGGTATCCTAGCGTGTGTTCTCTGGTATGCCAAATATTTTCTAGGCATGAGTAGGCAAGGCCTTTCCCCATGCTAAGTCATAGGGGATGCCCACAGATGAATGTCATACTTCTAGGGGCACATTGCCAAACTGGCTGGCTCTTCTTAAGTGTATGTATTAGTTGGGCCTATCAAGGATGTGAATTATTGGCATTAGAGGGAAATGTGAGATTACCACTTATAAGATGATTTTAGTCTCCTTGATTCCAATAATCTGGCTTGAACAAAACTTCAGCCACGTTAGGCCAGCTTAGGGTGGGAATGTGACCAATGTAAGGCTGGCAATTAAGGGAAGTAGTATTATATAGTTGGCACCAGACTAAGGCATTTTGACTATAATTGTAATGGCAAGAGGAATTTCCATTGTGCAAGGTCGTGTGGCCTTTTCCAAGAGCAGGACCTTTGATAGCCATTCTTTTGACCTAAAGGGTGTTTTAGTACAGGGTTTACATCACTTGGGTTAGGGGTTAGGGGTTCTACAGTCCAGGGTAAGAACATGGTAGGTCTTGGTTATAGGAAGTATAAAGGAAGGCCAACTGGGATTGGATATGCTAGGAGTAAGGAGTACTTCAATGGGAGTGACGGTGGGGTCCCACCCCATAGATTATAGGGAGAAATTAGCACTTTCTCCCAAGCCAGTGGGCCAGGAGGCAAAGTATGTGGGTTTTGTTGATAGACTCAGCAGTTGGTAAGGTTGGCCCCAGAGGATACTGCTTGGGAAGTTTGAATATATATATTTCATTCCCATTTTCCTTGGGTTAAACTCCAGTGGGAATCTAGCCATAAAAAAAAGAGCATATTTGGATTTGGTTATTTAAAGGGAGGGAAGGGTTAAAAGTAATGGGACCATTAGAATTTACCAACAACAAGAATTATTATAGGTGGGTGGGAAAATGCAAGTAAACAAATAAGATATGTAAAGGGACAAAAGTAAAGCTAACCGACAAACAGCTTGACACATCAAACAACAGAAAAAGCAAATCTACTTTATCTGAACCATGGAATGGTGGTTGTCTTTTAAAAAATGTTTGTACCCCCATAATATCCTGAAATAAATAAATTAAAAAAAAAGATATTTGAGGTCCTCATTGAATTTGCAGGAATAGGAACCTTAATCAGCATCTGGGATGTCTTCTTCCTGCAAAGACTGAGGAACAGGCTTGACTCTAGACAAGTGTACCCAACATTGTATTACCTCCAACTTAACTGCCTTGGGGGTATTCATTAAAACTTGAAGGGGCCTTTCCATTTTGTGGACAACTGGTTTGTCAGAGACCTCTCCTTCCAGGATTTTAGTAGATCTCGGTCTCCTGGGGCAGCAGGGGTGGGGTGCTTTATAGAATCAGCTTGAAGCGAATGGCGATTTCCATATTCCTGGAGGGCCTGTTGCACTTGGCACACATTAGTTATGTAAGAGGTTATGGAGTTACAATCAGGATCTATTCATAAGTCAGATGTTATGAATGGCCTTCCACATAGCATTTCAAAAGGGCTAAGTTTTTAAA